CTATCGACGAAAAAGATCAAGAAAGGCCCAACGAAAAGTCCAAAGAGCGACACAAAGAGAAAGAGGGTCATCGTGAAAAAGATCGCGAGAAAATAAGGGAAAGGAGGAAGGAACGAGAAAGACAAAAGTTAAAAGAAAAGCAGAAGATCCAAGTGGGAACTGCCAAGTCAGAGACTCCAGTAGTTACTATTCTGACTAAACCGCAAGTGAAAGAAGATATAAAATCCGACGCGAAAGATAAAGAAATCAAGAAAAGTACGCCTATAAAGATTACTATTCAACAACGGCAAAAAGATCAAATCAGACAAATTATTAAAGAGTCTGTTAAAGAACCTGCTGTAGCAGAAAGCCCAAATGAAACATCAACAACACCACCAGCTACGTCTAATACATCTATCACCTCTGAGACCAAAGAACACCCTTTCAATCGTCGTCGTGAAAGGGACCGTAGCAGAAAAGTAGGGTACGGAATGGGTCGGGTTGGGCGTGCTTGACTGGGGCCTGTACTCAAACTCGAAATACATTTATAAACCCAAACCCGGCCTCAAGGAAAAAAGCTCCCCAAAGAATGGACCAGGTTGGGCTTTATTTTTAAGTTAGGCTTGGCTTAATATGACCACTCAAATTCAATGTTGACTATTTTGGGTCATAACCAACTTTACATGACCAAGGTGGTCATAATGTAATAATAAATCTTATAAGTCATAACAGGTCATAAGGACGTAACCTATAGTTAGCCAATAGATCATAATGGGTCATAGGCCAACACAGATCAAACTAGATGATATACTTTCAAGATAGTAATACAGATTATCATATATTAGTAATTGCTGTGATAACATTCACTAGCAATTATAACAATGGTTCCACGACAAACAAGAGAAAATAAAGCTTTTTTTTATTAAAAATTATATCCCTTTTTATGTTTATATTTATATGTCACATTTGTATAATCCGTTCATCTCGTCTATCATATATCAAGTTCATAATAAAATTTCTTTTTTTTTTTTTAAAAAAAAAACACTAATCAATATATTATTATCTAATCAGAAAATCATTTACGGTTACTGGTTGCTAGGGTGATATATACGTATATACGTGCTAAGAATTTACCAGTAGTAATCAAACCGATTTCATTTTATGTCGTGAGAAAAAAAAGATCGGAGGCCACAATGATTTTTTTAGTTCATTTAAATTATATAAATCTACAGGGGATCTCCAAAATTCCGGGTCGGAAGGCATCGAATCCTTGTCTGCTGGCCGGAATTGCCCAGGATCACCAAGTAAAAAATGCTCAGCTGCTGTGTTTAAAATTCAGTGTTCTCATGATTCTCAAAGAACATTCAATTAGGGATGGCAAAAAAACGTTTTTTAATGATTTTTAATGATTTTTGAATTGTTTTAAATCATGTTTTAAAACAT